CAATTAGGCAAGGCAGCTGCGCAGGTGATGGTCCTGTTTGCAGAGAGGGGAGTCAAGGAAGGCCAAGAAATCACATGGTCATATGGGGACTCATACAGGAGCCACCGCAAGGAGATGGGATACAGGGCGGGGACCAGGGCGGATCCGAACGCAATAACACCCCAGCAAGCGCGGACGGCATTCGCGAGATACTGCAAAAAGATAGACGTGACGAAGGAGGAGCTAGCGTGGAACTTTGGATGCATATCGGCAAGCCAAAATAACGAGCAGGAGGCTGTCCTGGTGCGTGAGCTAATCCTGAGCAACAATAAGCGACTGTACCACGGAGCACAGAGCGCAGCAGACAGGACGGCGGCGACGGCGGACATGGCAGAGACGAGTGTGAAACAAAGGGCGGCGGGCATGGAGGGCGGTAGCGACGGGGATGGAGACGGTGACGGTGGCGAGGGAGAGGAAGGGGATCCATTAACACCAGACAGCGAGAGGGGCAGGGAGGAAAGGGGGAGAGAGGAAGCCAACGCGACGTGCGCAGAGGATGAGGATATAAACTGGGACGACGCAGCGGAGGGGATAGGCGAGGGAATCGAGGGACCGGAGGGCTTTCGCGACAGCGACGATGACGACGAAGAAAGGGGAGGGGACGGAGGGGCGACACGCAGGAGGAGCGAAATCGCTAACGGCCCGAGCAGAGAGGGCGACGGCGGGGCACGAGGGAACAACGGAGACGCTACCGATGACGCGAACCGAGGCACGGACGCCGGCGGGGATGGGGAGGGCGACAGCGACGTCGAGGTTGACGCAACCGTATCGAGAGCGCCACCCAAAAAGGGGCGGACAGCCATGGAGGTCACCGAATGGAGGGCGAACGGCACGATGCGAAAAGGCAGGGCGAGGCGGATGGAGAAAGAAGTGCCGAGAAGGCCATGGTGGAGGGGAGGGACGGGAGGACGAAAGAAGGGCGAGGAGGACGAGCGGCCCGCACAGACCGCGAGCAGACAGCGCCTGCTGGCCATTTCGAGACATTCGCCAAGAACGCTAGCTACATGGGAGGGCTTCGTGAAGGATGGATTGAAAAACATTCGAACAAAGAAGAGGCGACGGGAGGAACCGGCGGAGGATGCAGTGACGTGAGACACACACACACACACACACACACACACACACACACACACACACACACACACACACACACACACACACACACACACACACACACACACACACACACACACCGCTCACCCACGCGCACTGGGCCTTGCACTTTGAATGCCGTGGGGCTCCTGTCGTCAGACGTGGAGACGCGAGGGTTGCCCCCCCTTGCCCCACCACCTCGTGTGTGTGGAGAAGTTTACCTTACCTTACCTTACCTTAAGTCTAGCTCAAAATGTATGTATGTAGAAAGATGAACAACAGTCGGGCTCAGACTGGACACCAACGCGGTATGGGTGGACGCGGGACAGATGATGACGACACGCACGAACGACACACAGAGACACAAACAAGCTCAAAAATAGGCGCTCTAAAAAAAATAACTACGAAGGCCCTCTCGCAAAAAAAAGGGCAATTTTTCGGTGCTGGTAGCCCCCCCAAAACAGGCGCGCGCAGCGCGCCCAGGGGCGCCGCAGGCGCCCCAAGCGGCGCGGACAGCAGGGGCGCGAAATTAAACGCCATTTTCGGTTCCGCGGTTTTGCCACTAACATTGAAATCCGGTACAAAACGACTTAGCCGAAACAGCTGACAGACAGACAGAGAGCACACACGTTCGAGACGGGGGTGCGCCGACCGCCGTCGCGGACCCGGTAGAGCTAGATGGTCCCACAGGATGCACTCTTAGCCTCTGAGCTCGTCCTAGACGTTTTAGGGAAGCGTGGGCAGACCAGAACGCGGCCACGGCGACGCTCCGAGGCTGTCAGCAGCGCTGGCGGCGATCGTGGCGACGGCGCCTCGCCGCTGCAGCGGCACAGAATCGAGGAAGTGGCGTTGGTGGCAGCATCAATGAGATATGAAGGCGGCCGTAATGCTGGTGGCGCCTTCGAGGGCGGCGGAGAGGGCGGTAGCAGCGACGGCGATCGAGTCATGTGGCAGGGGTGCGAAGATGCAGCAGGGAGGCGTGAGTTAGCGACGCGGGGCGGTGGCGTGCCAGCAGGTAAGCGGCGGCGGCGGAGAGCAGGTGCGCGAAATAAAGGCCAATCTTGAGATATCCATTTTGCACCACCTTTGGATTTCTGGTACAAATTGACTTGTGGATCTTGAAGGCACGCGCAAGAGCGCACCAGGCAAGTTGACTGAACCTCGGATCTCGCTGCCGCTAAGCGTGGCGTCGATTATCAAACGAGCGGTGACAGTAGCAGTGGCAGCGGCGGCAGCGTCGACAGGAGCACCTACTGCAGCGTGAAATGTGAGCCGGGAGGCGGGAGGCAGATGCAATAGGAGCGGGAGAGTGAGATCGTCAGCCAGCACGGCAGACCTTTACGGCGCGGCTGCGGGCGCGTTTGCAGTGACATGCGATCCATGTGGTAGCAAAGGCACGGCGGGAGTAGCGCGTATGCAGGCTGTGAGCGAGGGTGGCGCGTCGCGAGTGGCGGTGCAGCTAGTCGGTGGCGCGGGTGCTGGCGACCGGCAGAGAGATGCAGCCGGCGCGAGAGATGAACCCTGCGGAGAGGCGAGGTGACGGGCGAACCGCGACGAGAGCGCCCTGACGCTGGCAGCTCAAGCAGCGTCAGGGCGCTACCAGCACCGAATGGGTACCCTCCCCAAAAAAAGAGACGACGCGGCAGCGAGGCCACGCGAACTGCCATGGCCTCTACGCAGCCGCCGCCCTCGCCGCCGCCCCGTCGCGAGCCCACTCCGAGGCAGCTGCCGTTGCCTCTGCGCGTGGCCGCGCTCGTCGCTCTCCTCTCGCTTCCCAACCTCGCGCTCTGCGCCGGTGGCGATGGATTCGGGGGCGTCAACGCGACGGCGCCCGGACATACAAAGGGCTCGCCGACGGTCGCAGGGTCGGCGAACGTGCTGCTACTCGTTGCAGACCAGGTCGGCGCGTGGGCTGTCGAGACGCAGGCCATGCCAGGCCTGCACACACACTTTGCACAGCGAGGGGCGACATACACGTCTGCGTATGCGCCGGCTTCCTGGTGCTGCCCGTCTCGCACGGCAATGATGACGGGGCGGCACGAAGCCAGTTTCCGAGCGACAGATCGGTGGTGCACGCGTGTGCCGCTGTCGAACTCCTCCTCGAGTTCCTGCAACGCGTCGTGCAGGATGGACGCCGCCGAGCGCAGGTGCGGCGCGCCGGCCACCAGCTCCGCCGACCACGGAATGGGATTCGTGCAGCAGCTGCAGCGGAAACAGCCTTGGCGTCGATTCGTCCACCTCGGCAAGTGGCACCTTCCCTTCTGGCTCGGGCTCGACACCTTCGTGCGGAATGGTGAACGGGCTTCCGACGTGGTGCTGTCACGCCGGCGACGGGGCCGTCAGGTGCATCGAGACGCGCAGTGCTCCCCCGTGTGGCCGTCCAGGACCGATGCAAAGCGGTATGGACTGCACGCCTTGGACAACACGGCTCCTCCGCTGGTCCACTGCGGCGAACGTCGCATGCGCGTCGCATCGTCGTTCAGAGGGCAGCCAGCTGCCCGCAACGCTCCGGCGTGCGCGGGCACTCAGCAGCCTTTGGGCGCCTGTGACTTTCTCTACTACCGTGTATCCGCTGAGAAACTCGCACGTTGGTGTGCTGGCAACGTGAGCCAAACTCGATGGATCGACCCGAAACCCGCTGGGGCGGGCAAGGGCGACAACTCTCCTCTCAGATCGTCCATAGACATCAGCTCGCGAACGAGATCTTCTGACGAGATGCTAGCAGAGGAAGCTGCGGGCGCGTTGCGAGCGTTTGGGCAGGACGCCTTCTTCCTCAGCGTGAGTTTCGAAGGAGCGCATCCGCCGTGGAGCGTCCAGCAGAGGTACATCGGACCGCGTTCAGATCTCACGCAAAAGTCGCTCGTGGTTGCAGTTTACCGTGCCATGGTTGCTCGAGTCGACGAGCAGATCGGCAGGGTTATGACAGCACTCGAGGAGCTTGGGCTGTCAGAGTCAACGCTGAGCATCTTTACTAGCGACCACGGCGCCCTCCCGAAGCGCCATCAGACCGGGAGCTGGATGGTCGAAAAGGTCGACGAAGGAACGCGTATGCGTGAGGGCGTTCGGCGTGTCCCCATGCTCCTCAAGTTTCCTGGCCGAGTGCCGGAGGGCGCTATTGTGAGGTCCCCGTGCTCTCTCATTGACATAGGTGGCACGATACTCGCGTCAGTGCTCGGCGACCACGTCCTGCTCAGTCATCAACGCTCGCTGCTGACTCTGGCGCATGGGAGCAATCGCCGCGGGCTGCAGCGCCTCCGAAAGGGACAGCTACCCTCGCAATCCAGACCACATGCCAGTACAACGATTGGGGAGTGCAAGCTTGTCCAGCAGCGCACTCATGGCGCTCTGTGCAGCCCCCGCCTCTTGTCGGCGGACAGATCGTGGGCGAACCGCAGCATCTTGCTTCTCATCCGGCAAGCTCAGTGGAAGCTCAGCGTGACCGTTAGTGAGGCGCAGCTGCTGGCTCACCGAAGCCACGTGCGCCTCGCAGTGTCCCCCTTCTCGGGACTCCTGAGTGTGGCATGCCGGCCGAGCTGGTGTCGAGACATGCGCCTGCTGAACACGGAAACGGCGAGTGTGATGGCCTTGGGCGAGTCTGGAGACGAGGAGGATGACGAGATGGCGAGCCCATCGGCACGCGCAGCCAAATCGCACGGACATTGGAAATGCTGCTCGTGGGGCGGACCCGCGGTCAGCAAGTTGGAGCTGGCGCAGAGTCTCCTAGCCTTTGGCGTACGCGAGCTTTGGGCATTCCCGAGCTTTTCAGGGGACCAATCGCGACCGCACACGGCGCGCCGCGGCCTGGGGGCTTGAGCGCGCTCCTTGCCTCTCCGCTAGAGAGCTGCACGCTCGCACATGCTACATGCACAACATGCACATGCACATGCATACGTGCAAGCCGCCCGCCGCACACACACACAGGCTGAGAAATATTCGAGGGTGTATCGTCGATGTCCCAAAGATAGTCAGCGTTGCGGAGTTGCGAGAAGCGATGGGCGCCCCTCTCGAATAAACGCCCATAGCGCCACGCCTCGCTCGCCCGAGCCGCTCCGAGTCCGTGGACTGGAGCCGCGTGGAGGGCGCTGCGCTCGCCCGGCATCGAGCCGGTGCACCACCCGCCCCTGAACGTGCGCGGTCCCGGACCCCCCTCATCGGACGTCGCCAGGGCTAGTTCCATTTCACTGTGGCACAGCTCGCGTTACAAAACCTTGATTTGACCATTTGCGCACTATTGTACCTCTCGGTGCCTTTCCAGAGGGCAATGCGTTTAATTATATCTCTAAGTCATTTAATCTATATAGTGCCTTAATGATCTACCTAATTTTAATATCTGATTCTAACCTTCAACAATTGTTAATCTCATAATTAACTTCGTTACTTTCAATACTTTTT